CCCAAAACCCCAAAACCCCAAAACCCCAAAACCCCATTAGATTTATATAATTGAATCAAAAGAAAATATATAAAACATAATATAAATCCACAAAATATTTGCAAGATTAAAGTATAGTTAATCATCAAAATTTGCATTTGATCGTAATCTTAAAATCTACCCAATAATTAGTTACAAAGGATTAGTTCAAAATAAAGATGCCCAGTACCCTGCCAAGCCTCTCTCATCAAGAAATGAAATGAAATGATCATTAATTAGAAATAAGTCTCCTTGTAAGATCAACTGCATAAACTTCAATATCAAGCACTTTGAAGTGAGTATTTCCTGTCAAATAAGTTGAATATTAACCCTAAATTTTATTGAAATAAGAAAAAGACTGACTTATGCTTTGACTTTAATTATTGCAATTATCACAAATATGCAAATCTTTACCAGAACCTTAACTCCAGCTAAAGTTAGAACCATGATTAACTGCATTTACTTCATTATCTCTCTGAAATAATAATTCTTAATCTGTAAGAGAAAATAAAAATGCCTCCTTATCTGGTTTATAACCTCCCTCTGATTTCCAATCAATTGAGGTAAATCCTCCGAAAACATTTCCAGTCCAATTCATAATAAAGCAAATAGTAGGGCCTTTATCATTGCATAATTCATGAAATTTTTAGGATTAAAAACCATCTCTTAATCCCTTATAGATGAGATTGAATTTAACAAATTCATAAGTTTGGAATAATTTTCCTTTTATTATTGAATAATTACTGGGGCCCAACTCATTATTTACAAGTTTCCTAAAGTTTAAATGTTTCTTGTCATTTTTAAGATGGTCAGGTATTTGATTAACTTATGGTAATTTTATGAAAATGTTTTAATCGGATATCTCTACTTTTAATTCCTCTGACTAGTTAATATTTTACTAACCGGAAGCGATTTCTTGTTTTATAATCTTTTAATCTTATTTATCTTGCTGTTTGATTTTTCTTTTATTTGTTATGTTATAAATGTCTTCACCTTTTAAATTTTAATTTCTTTTTAAAGGTGATGAATTACCAAATAAATCTTCATCATCAGTTGCTTAAATTAATTAACTTGATTCATCATCATCATCATTTAATCTTAATTCATCATCATAATCATCTGCATCATCATTTTCATCAGAAATATCCTCATTTGACAGATTTTCACTTCCTTCATTATCTGAATTATAGTCCAAATTAGCTTAGAGCAAATTTTCTTCATAAAAATGTTCAAATAGATCGAATTTACCATTGCTTATCATTAAACCTTCCTCATTACAATCTAGATCAATAATCCCTCTTATTTTATCTATAAATTTCATATAATCATCAGCCGCTACAAATTTATCGATATCTCTATACTTTATAATCTTTGAGAGAATATTTTAGATTATTTAAATTTTTTCTACTAGTTTAGGTATTATTTTAAAATTATAGTATTTCTTGAAACCCTTCCTACTTAGTTTAGCATGCTGGTATACTTACTATTTGGCCATTTCTTAATTCCCCTAATTGCTACAATTGCAATTGCACTCATTGCATATCAAGGTATTTCTTATTTTACAAATTTGATTAACAAGATTATGCTTATGCTTACTACACTAAATATTAGTGAAGTCTTTTCTTTTAAGATTGACTTTGACATATTCCATTAACTCTTCATCTATTTGAAAATTTGAATCTTTTTAAATTTTATGATTTTAATTTTTAGGACAAGCAAATTAGGACTCTTTTCTTTTCGATAATTCCATTAATTTTGCTTACAAGCATACATTGCACATTTTATGAGAACATGGCAATATCATTGGAATCCTTTTCCTAACATTATACACTTAATCGCAATTCTTGCAGATAAGTATGTCCATATTATTTAAATTATTTATCTAAGATATAAGTAACTATAATATAATACTAGAATTATCATATCATTTTATAAACTCAAATTATTTTATGATAATGATTAGCGGGGTTTTGGGGTTTTGGGGTTTTGGGG